GAGAGGGAGGAAGAATGAAGGAGGGTGAGGGGGAGAGAAGAAAGAAAGGCAAAGAGAAAAGAAAAGTAATCAATCACGAAATCTCTTTTGTACCAGAATAGACAGGCTGCTAGATGAAAACTCAGAACTTGCAAAAAATAATTTTACCACATATACAGTCATGATGATAACAACACATTTTAAAGCATTGATATTGTATAAGACTTTATTAAATTTGTATCTTTCATCTACAATTCTCATTTTTTTCAAATCCAGAAAAGGCCTCCAGTGTATCAAATGGCAAATGGTTTCTGTAATGCTCATTGTAAGAGAAAATTTACAGAGTTTGGGGGCTTAAGGAAAAGTTTTACTAATTAATTTTCAAAGTTCAGGTACAGAAAGAGAGATAATAAATTTATGGTGACACCGGTTCAGAAAACATCAACTATGATCCTTTCATTACCATCTGACTTGACCACATTATTTAGGAAGACTGATTCTTGGTCCCTAATCTTGGAATTAAGGCCACTAATGATATTTCTAATTGTCCAAATGAAGTGCATCTTCACAGAAAGGACTTGAAACAAAATTCCCCTTGTTAGATGAGCTTTATCAGAAGAGATTGTAATGACCATAGGCAGTCACGTTGAAGCAATCAAGTGAATGAGTATTAGAAGAGATAACACAGTATGATGGGGCCCTGAAGGGAGGGATTTTAATTAATGGGTAAAGGGACATTTCTGACTGATGTTTTCATAACAAACTGGTAAGTGTAAGCATTACAACTTGGATGGAAGGATGACCTGGCAGGTGAAAGACAGGGCATACCTCAAAGTCACACTATACAACAAACCTCACACAAGAATCACTCATGAAATCTCTTTATCAGAATAGACAGGAAAACTGGCTGCTAGATGCTAACTTGGAACTTGCAAAAAAAAAAAATCTCTGCTTGGCAAGAAACAGGAGGGAACTGAACAGGATACGGGGCTTATATAGAGTTTCTTGGGAAGGGAGTGGATCTTTCCAGGGTGGAGATTGGAGAAATTTCATGTTCAGAGATTGGGCTTTTTACTCTGTAGGGTAGGGGCTGGGTCCAGCAGGTAGGGCATTTAGTGTCCTGTGGGTGGAACCTGGCATTTGAAGGAACCAGGGAGGGGGACTGGTCACTTGTGAGGCTTGAGGGTCTTACAGTAAGGTCCACACTGTGTGATGTAGACTGGCCTAGTCTCTACTTTAAGAGGCACAAGACAGGAAGACACTGGGCCTGCACTTCAATGGTGTCTTGGTGTTGGGAAGCACACTCTGGGGAGGACTGTCCTTGCTTTCAGGGCCTCAATGTTCTGCCAGTCATAGCTGATGTCAGTCAGTTCACTATCCTAAAGGACAAACTCCAGAGGGTTATGGCCAGAAAAGGAAAATGGTATCTAGAGGGTCTAACAATATAACAGCTTCTTTCTCTATAATTATTCTCTTTCTATTAATTTTAATTTTTTGGTGCTGGGACTAAACCTAGGGATTAAACATTCCTTACATTAAATATGTAAAGAAACCCCTGTAGCACTGAGTCCTTTACTTTGCTCCTTAAAATACATATATGAACAATAGGTGCATTGTATATATGAATATGTAAATATGTGAGTGTGTGTCTGTGTGTATGTCTGTACATACAGTGTCATAGTTAGCTCAGCAAATTTCACTTCACCAAAATGGCTTAAACTTCAATTGTGAGGTCACACTGGTTGCAATTTGATGACACTACATTACTTCAGAACTGTGGAGCAGGACTACACAGTTTCTTGGGGCTGACTATGAATCCAGTCAGAGTCCCAAACGACATGGAAGAGGAGTAGTGAAAGTAGTAGTGCATCCTTAGGGCTGCTGGTCCAACTACCAGCCTGTTGTGAATCATTGATGCTCACTAGTTCACTTGAAGGACATAATTCAAGAGCCTTCAAGGAGGCTCTATCCTTCTTTCTTGTATAGCCTATGTAATGGGGTTGAAGATACACATGACAATGTGCAGCTGACCTTTGAAAGTGTGTACTTTCATGATAAAATGCACATTCATAGTATTGTGAAACCATCATTAACCATCTTCCTAAATGGAAATGGTACCCTCATTGAATTTCTGCTCCTGTTTCTCCCTGTTGTGGCCCAAGAAACTACCAGTGTGCTTTCTACCTCTGCAGAGTTACCTACCTCAGGGACATTGTAACGCAATAACATGGTGTATTATCTTTTGTGACTACAATATTTCAAGTACTATGATATCCTCAAGTTTTATCCATGTACTGTCTATGTGTCTTAGGGCTATACATAGAAGTAGTCTTCTATCATCTGTAGAATTAACCCTTAATTTGCCATGGTGTTGTTATTTGGAAATACCCTGTTTCTGAAAAAGTGCCATATGTTATATCTTTGGAACCTTAGCTGGAGGTACTATTTTGGGAGTTTCTGGACAGTTAAAGAGATCATATGTAACTGGAGGAAACTGAAATTGGCATCTGTGGTTTTGAAGATTGTGTCATCCCCTGTTCCTTGTCTACTTCCTGCCCATTAGGAGGTGAGTAACCTCTGACTCCTGAACTCACCACAGAGATGTTCTGCCTCGGCACACACTTGAACCAATAGACACAAGGCCCATTCACAAAATCCATGCCCCATTAAATTGTTTTCAGTCTATTTTACCCACAAATTAAGAATTCAAATCACCAAAGATGCTTGTATTTCTAATGGTTAAACATTAATGCTTTTTCAAGAATATTGTTATATAAAGGAAGTAACATCCTCAAAATTAAAAAAAAAACATACTTTGAACTTCACCCTTTCTTAGAATATAGTGATATGCAATGTGATCAATATCTCTATTATGATGCTGGCATGACTCTTGTTTCTGTGCATCTCTTTGTCTTAAGGTACCATTGCCATTGGTCTCATTCATTCTCTCTTTCTCTATCTCACTTTTTATGTCTAAGCAGGGGAAATTACCATGTGAATATTAAAGAAATGTTTCCCAGAAGCCCTTCCGTTTACAGATCCCCCTGATGGATAGATCTAAGTGCTAGTCCCCTTGATTATCTATAGATATTCAGAAGCATAGAAAAGCAAAGAGCTGGGCAGATAATTTAGTGGTTAAGAAAGCACATTGTTCTTGTAGAGGGTTCAAGCTCATTTCCCAACAACCATGTAAGGTATCTCACAAGTAATATACTAGTTATGTCTCTGCTCTCCATCAGCACCTGCTCTCAAATGCACAACCCACACCATACACTTAAGTAAATATAAAAAGGAAATAATGACCAAACAGAGAAAATGGTTTGTGTGTGCTTTCATATTGTTATCATGATAGTTACAAAATGCTTGTTGTTATCTAATGTTTCTGCCAGAAAATAGATCTTGCCTCTTCAGGTTGAACTTGTATCTGCATATATATATTTATATAGGTCTATGTGCCTATGCCCTTGTCTGTACTCTGAATAATTGGAGCAGAACACAGCTGCTTTCTCACTCCTGCGGCTTCCCCCTACAGGTGATACTCTACTTTGAAGTTAGGCATCCTCTGGAAACTTCAAAGCATTTAACATAGACCTCATCCCAGAAGGAATCTTCCCACAGTCCTTCAAAGTCACCTGGAAATTCTCCCAAATGTCTATAATGCTTCAGTGCTGTGAGCAGCCCTCCTGGTTCACTCATCCCTTCCCCTGCTCCTCTAAGATGCTTACCCATCTTTCTCACATGAGTGTGCATGTGGCCCTTGACACTTTGAAGTCTTTAGGGAACTTTTGTCAGGACAACTGGACCTGGAATGTAAAGCTAGCTTGTTGAATTAGCTGATATCAATTGAGGACAAAATTACTTCTCTGAAGGGAGATTTCCCCCTAAGGACAAGGTTTACATTATATTACTTGGCCCATCTAATGGATCTCAAATGAAGCCCAAGAATTTAATTAAGGAGTTTGTTGTTTTCCAAAGCACTGTTCTCATGAATAACTCATAGCAGCAGGTTGGAAACAAGCATAGGCAGGATGAACATCATTTCAAGTTCAGTCTGGGCTACACAGTGAGTTTGCAGCCAACCTGGTCCAGAGAGAGGGCTTGTCTCATAATGAACAAAGAAACAAGCAACAACAGAATGTATTCCTCCCTAGAGCACACTAGGAATTCAAGGTCACAATGGGGACATTTGATAAACCCAGTCTCAGATTTTGTTTAAGGCTAGGGATATAGTTGGTTGGTAAAGAGCTTGCCAGCATTTCTGGATGCCCACCTTAGGCCTCTAGTAAAAGAAAATAATAATTTGTTCAATATTATTCAGCCAAAAAGTATGGTATTTTTAATACCATTTACTTAGATTTAATACTATTTACTTAGATTGTTCTTTGTTCAATAGACATGATTTCTGTAATTTGCCTACGAGGTTCCTCACTCTGTGCCCTTGTCAATGGTCCCCCTCCTGGAAACTCTGAGCCCCTCAATATTTTCTACTGACTGAATTGGGCATCCTCTCCTGCTTCATTCTTCATTCATCTGAACCCACAACTGCCATTCACCAGTCTCCAAGCATAGACTATTTTTACCTTTCCATTCAGTGCAGGCCTTAGGTTCACAGTAGCATCTCTTCAACACATGTCAGACACCTCCTTTTGGTTGAGTTTGGGGAAATATCCTTAAATAAATATTTCTCCTCCTCCTACCATGTGTCTTCATCTTTCGTCTGCTGCTACCTTTCAGTGGTGCTGACATAGTTTCTCATATTAGCTCCCAAGGCACTGTCTTCTGTCTCTAGAAACTGATACTTAGGAGTCATTAATATAGGATATTATGGGGCAAACAAAGGGTTATTAAAAGGTGAGGCCAGTCTGAATCTAAACTGGTTTTACTTTGAAAAATTAAGATGGAGATGCTTTCAGATTTCTTCCAGGAGATATATGTTACTAATTTTGTAGATGAGTTTGCTTCAAGGGAATTAATACCATTGGGTCCCTTCCTACTATCTATATCATAAAATTTCTTTCTAGGTCTCCAAGGACACATGCATGAAGAAGGGTACTTGACAGTAAAGCCCATGAACTCGCTACTGTGGGTAGGTATTTAGGTTACTAGTAGGGCATTTTCTTAGCATGTACCTGTGCCTGAGTTCCATCCATAGCACTTTAAACAATGACAAAAACCCTCACACAAGTTATTCTTGGTGCCACCTGCCCATAATCCCAGCACTTGGAGAACAAAAGCAGGTGAATTGACTCAATGGAGAGATCAGCAGAGACAACACAATGATTGCAAGGGGAGCCTCACATATATAGTGAGACTATATTCCCATCCCACCCCTGAAAAAATTAACACCCAAAACACTGGTGGACTTTTACCATAAAGCAAAAAAGCAAGAGGAAAAAAATCACTATTCTTGCTAGCATTCGGTTGCATCTTGCTTTGCATTCTTCAATTTTTTCATTATTGAAGTAAATAAACAAAAAAATAACTATCAGAATGGGGTATCTACTTACTCTTGGCTCTGTATTAAGGTGACCTTCTGTTGGGTGTTTTTTCAGGTCCTCCAATATCTGTTTTTACAGCTGTCAAATGTTTCAGTAAAAGGATCACATTCAGGTTAGCGTATTCTAAGTATAGAATGCATGTATGGACCAGAAGCAGGTAATCCTTTATAATTTGAAACTGTTTAGTTTATTGATGCTGATATATTGTTTTCTGAGGCAGTGTGTTACAATAAATCTTTTTGCCAAAAGCCGCTGAGCCCCACTGCCACGTGTAAGCTTTACACCAGCCACCTACCCAAGTTAGGCCCAAATGAATACACAGAGAGACTTGTATTAGTTACAATGCTGCTTGGCCAATGACTAGGATTCTCATCTGTTAGCTCAGTATCAATTATCAAACATCTATATATTTTATAAGACTTATCTTATCGGACGCCTTATTGGCGTCCCTCCTAGCTGGTGGATCACATCATGCCGCTGGAGCAGGAGCCGAGGGGAAAAGAGAGAGACACTTCCTTTTTCCTCTTCTTAAATATGAGTCTCCTTGCTATGTCACTTCCTCTCTGGAATGCCACTTCTTTACTACATTTCCCAGAATCCCCTTTGACTCCTAGTCCAGCCTAACCTGTTGTCTCATTGGCCAAGCAAGTACTTTATTTATAAACATACACAGAAGTATTTCCCCCATCATCTCCTCTTTTCTGTCTATTTAAAAGAAGTGTAACTTATCTTTTATAATAATTGAAGAAAACTATAACCATAACTATCTGTCTTTAACTCTATCAAAGACCACAGAAGGATAATATATAAACTCTAGAATTGACAGGAAACACAGAAGTATTTCCCCCATCAGCAGTGTTATTTAGACTTGCTACATAGACTATGTTGCCTCTGAATGTTTCCATCCTACCTCTGTGTCCTGGCCATTGGGATTATAGATATGAGCAAACACACCATAGTTTGAAAATATTTTTTATTATTTTCTTATTGTAAAGATCACGCTTGTGACAGACATACCTAAAATGTATAAATCTAGGCAGTACTTAAAGACCATAAGCTGTAGTTGTTATGTAGGTTCGGAATAAATATTTCAACTAATATGCTCAAAGACCTAGATTCCATACACATAACAAAAAAATGAAGCATAACAACATGAAGTTAAATACTCATAATCCAATTTGCTCATATAATAAGTATTGAAAGAAGCTATCCCCACAGGACTGTCTCCTGCACTGTTCTCATTTTTCAAAAAGCCAAAATTATTTTAACATATTTGGTAATACTCAGGTGAGTCAATTATAAGTCAAGAAATAAACTGATGAAGTATATAGTATATGTTTTAGGATATATTACTATTTTAAATCATATACATATGTCTTTGCCTGTGTGTGGTTGTGTGTATGCATATATGCGCAACATGTGTGCAGATACCCATGGAGGCCAGAGTTGCTTGGAACTTCATTTTCAGACAGTTGTGAACTACCTAATGTGGGTCTTGGGACCTGGACTCAGAGTCTTTGGAATAACAGTAGCTCTCTTGAATGCCAAGCCATCCCTTCAGCTCCTGATGGATATTTTTAAGGGTGGCAGCAGTATGAGTGCTTACAGCATGATAGTTTATTTAGCTCTATTCTTGTATTATATGTTCTTCCTTTTATGGAATAAGTTATAATTTCTTCATCCCTGTTAAAACTATAACCTAGCAATTTAGTTCACATCCCTGATAGCATTATATGAGATATTTTGTTCTATGCTGTTTATATTCAATAAATTGTGTCTTTCATTTGGTTATATATCATGACAATTACAATGACTGTCAATATTGTAGTTATTGTAGTAATTATTGTAAATATTATATATTGAAAGACTAACAATTGGACACAGTCCCTCATGCCTGGGATTCTAACTCGTAGGATACTAAGTCAGGAGGATTTTGAATACTAGGCCATGCTGGAACACATTAGAGTCTGAAGGACAACTTAGTAAAATTTGGTATTTAAAAAAGATGGACTGACACAGTAGAACATGACATAACTCTAACTACTCAGGAAGCCAAATAAGGAGGATGTCAAATACGAGGCCAGCCTGAGTGCCACAGTGATTTAAAGACCTTCCCAGACAAATTGATGAGACTCTGTCTCTGAAAATGTTAAGAAGGCAATGTAAGAGAAGTCATAAAGAAGTTTCCACCTTTATATCTTGTGGTTAAGAGTGTAAATTTTGAAAGCACTTTGTAACCCAATTCAACTAGTTTGGATATACCCAAGAGAAACGTGACTATAAATCGACAACAACTTTAATGTATGCCTTTTCACTCCTAAAACATTACTCATCTTAGGTAAAGCTTGGAGATAGTCCTGATGTCAAAACTGAGCAATGAGCAAGCAAACTGTAGTGGTCCATACTCTGGAACACTAGTTAGCATGAAAGAGGAAAAACTTCTCACACATACTACACTATGAGGACCTTAACAACATTATTTTAGTAATAGGATGTAGCTGCTCATGCCTTTAATCCTGACACTTTTCAGGGAGAGTCATGAGGATTGTCGGAAATTAAAAGCCAGTAATAAGAACTTAGTTCAAGACACCATCATACCCTGTCTTAAAAAACAATCAAACAAACAAATGACAACAACTAAAGATCAAAGTAAGAATCAAGTGTTCAGTCCAGATTATCTTCCATTGTAAATATGACCCACTTGTAAGTTTTTTTGGTATATAGCTCCATGGAATAAAATTATCATAAATTATTTATCAAATTGTCATACATGAAGTAGTTCGCAATTTTGTCATATGGCAAATGGTGCCTTGATGATCATCTTTGTGACTAAATATTGGGGCTATATTGATTGTGTGTCTGGAACAATAGTCAGAAGTGGAAGCAGTAGCAGGGCATGTACATTGTGAGGATGTCAGTAAATGTTGCATCAAGGCACTTATAGTTTGCTCAGTCAACATTCCCAGCAGAAGATCACCAGAACAAAGTCCAACCTTCTCAAACATCCTATCCTTCTTGAGCTGCTCCTTCAAAGAACACTGTCATGGGTCTAAGGAGCCTGATGTAGACCTCTAACATTTCCCTAGTGTTTTCTGAGACCATGCTCTTCCTCAACAAAATTGTCAGTCACCATGTTCCAGACTTGACTTTGTTCACAGTAGAATAGATCCTTTGCACATCTCCATGAGCACCCTCCAGTGGTAACTGTAGTTCTGAGTCCATGCTTTCCTTTTAGGACAATCTGTGTATGAATACGGAAAGTCTGCATTTACCACCATGGCACAGCTCCAGTAACCACATATTGTGTCACTGGTACACACACTATGATGCATTCCTTCCTTTGTACTAGTGCTGTCTGTCAATATTCTTGGGCTGGTTGGGATATCTTAAGCATTTTAGTATTTAGGAACATGTACAAGAGCTAACTAAAGAATGTCACCTACAATCCATTAGTTCTTTCAAAGATGATTGATACTGGCTGTGCTATACTGCCCTGTGTAAATTACGATGCAGCCATATAAGAAGGTGATGATTCTCACCTTTTTTTTTTAAATTAATTGATTAATGTATTTATTTTATATCCCCACCAAACTTTTCCTCCCTGTCCTCCTAGAAGTTGGTCCTCCCCACCTCCTCTCTACCTTCCCTCAATTCACTTTTTCCTCCTTTTCTGTTCAGAAAAGGGCAGGCCTCCCATGGATGTTGACAAAACTTAGCATATCAAGTTGTGGTAAGACTAAGCACCTCGCCTTGTATTAAGGCGAGACAATCCAGTACAAGAAATAGGGTCGCAAAGGCCAGTAAAAGAATCAGAGACAGCCCCTGTTCCTACTCTTAGAAATCCCGTAAGAGGACCAAGTGACACAACTGTAACAGAATCAGAGGGCCTAGGTCAGTCCCATGCAGGCTCCCTGGTTGTCTGTTCAGTCTCTGTGAGACCCTATGAGCCTAAGTTAGTAGATTCTAAGGGTTTTCTTATGATGTCCTTGACCCTTCTGGCTCTTATCATCCTCCCTCCCTCTCTCCAGAAGGATTTCCTGAACTTGGTTGGCCTAATGTTAGACTGCAGGTCTCTCCACCTGTTTCTACAAGTAGCTGGGTGGAGCCTCTTCATTGAAAATTGGTCTAGGCACCAATCTATGTATATAGCAAAATATTGTTATGTTGACATTTTTCCCTACAGTCATCTTTGGTTCTATCATAGGTCTCTGGTCCAGCCAGTCTCTTTGTCATGGTGCTCCAGGCCATATCAAGAGTAGGCTCATTCTTGTGGCATGGGTCTTAAGCTGGACCGGTCATTGGTTGGTCACTCCTACAATCTCTATGCTACCCTTACCCCTGTACATCCCATAGGTAGGACAGATTGTAGGTAGCAGGTTATGTGGCTGGGTTGGTGTTTCAATCCTTCCACTGTATGTTTTGCCTGGCCACAAGAGATGACCAGTTCAGGCTATATATCCACTATTGCTAGAAGTCTTATCTGAGGTCATCCTTGTAGATCCCTGAGAGTTTCCCTTATACATACTTGACATGTAAATGCCCCCTCTTCCAGTTGGCTACTTTAGTAATCTCCTTCCTACCACACCACCACCTGATCACTCATGTTCCTATTCCCACCCACTCCAGTCCACCCACAAAATCTCTTCAATTTCACCTATCCAAGGAAATGCAATTCTCCCTCTTGGGCCCTCCTTGTTACCTAACCTCTCTGGGTCTGTGGATTGTAGCATGGTTATATTTCACTTTATAGCCAATATCCACGAATGTGTGAGTACATACTATGTTTATCTTTCTGGATGTGGGTTACCTCACTCAGGATGTATTTTTTTTCTGTCTCCATCCAATTGTCTTCAGTTTTCATGTTGTCATTGTTTTAAACAGCTGGCTAATACTGCATTGTATAAATTTTCTTCAGTTGAGGGACATCTAAGTTTTTTCCAAATTATGGCTATTATGAATAAAACTGCTATGAAGATTGCTGAGCAAGTGTCCTTGCGGTATGATTGAGCATCCTTTGGCTATATGCCCAAGAGTGATATAGCTGGGTCTTGAGGTAGACTGATTCCCAATTTTATGAGCAACCGCCATAAATAATTCCTGTCCCTTGTTTTTTTCTTGGCTTTTTTGGCATTTTTAAGGGATTTGCTGATTTGCCCCAATTTTTTGGTTGTCTTTTTCTCTATTCCTTTAAGGGAGTTTTCCATTTTCTTTTTAAGGACCTCTATTATCATCATAAAGTTGATTTTA